CATTCCCCTGCCTCAGCCTCCCAAGTAGCTGGAGCTATAGACGTGCACCACCATGCCCAGCTAATTTTTTGTATTTTAGTAGAGACAGGGTTTCACCATATTGGCCAGGATGGTCCAGATCTGTTGACCTCGTGATCTGCCCACTTTGGCCTCCCAAAATGCTGGGATTACAGGCATGAGCCAATGGCAACATTGTTCAAAACAAATGTCCATCAATAGCAGATCAATTATGAACCAGTCACAACTGGAATACTCAACAGCAGTGAAAATTAACAAAGTACAACAATGTGCATCAATAAGGATGAATCTCACCATCATAATGTTGACCGAAAGAAACCAAAAACACAAGTATACCTCATATAATTTCCTTTATCTAAGAAACAGATATTTAGACATGTGGAAATATTACATATTAATGACTATAAATATGCATAAATATGTGGATAGATATAAGTTGACTGTGTGTGTATAAAATGTATTTATTTCCCCCTCGTTCTCTGGATAAAGAAGAACGAGACTTCTGCACCCTTAACATTAACTCCTTGAAACGCAAGCTCATGACCACAGGAGAGGAACCTCTACTTTCTGTCAAAACTCATCCCCCAAAACTCAACGTGAAATAGCCAAAGTCCATGGACTGAGGCTAATATCAGAAAGAAAGTCGGCTTATGATTTTTTTCAACTTGTATGGTGAATACCATAATACTGTGATTGGTTTTTGTTTTTTTGGAACTGAGTCTCGCTCTATCGCCCAGGCTTGAGTGCAGTGGCGCCATCTCGGCTCACTGCAACCTCCGCCTCCCAGGCTCAAGCAATTCTCCTGTCTCAGCCTCCCGAGTAGCTGGGTCTACAGGTGCCTGCCAACACGCCTGGCTAATTTTTGTATTTTTAGTAGACACAGGGTTTCACCATATTGGGCAGGCTTGTCTCCAACTCCTGACCTTGTGATCCACCCACCTTGGCCTCCCAAAGTGCTGGGATTACAGGCATGAGCCACCACGCCAGGCCAACACCGTGATTTTTTAAAAAATTCATCTTCCTTCCACAATGACATTCTTCACAGAATCAGAAAAAAAAAGTTATTTTAAAATTCATATGCAACCAAAAAAGAGCCCAAGTAGCCAGAACAATCCTAAGCAAAAACAACAAAGCTGGAGACATCACAATACCTGACTTCAAACTATATTGGAGGACTACAGTAACCAAAACAGCATGGTACTGGTACAAAAATAGATACAAATGTCAATGGAACAGAATAGAGAGTCCAGAAATAGTACCTCACACCTACAATCATCTGATCTTTGACAAAGTTGACAAAAACAAGCAATGGAGAAACAACTTCCCATTCAATAAATGGGTGCTGGGCAAACTGGCTAGTAAGCAGAAGATTGAAACTAGACCCTTTCCCTTACACCATACATAAAAATCAACTCATGAGGATTAAAGACTTAAATGTAAAACCCAAAACTATAAAAGTATGGATGAGAACCTAGGAAATACCATTCTGGACACAGGACCTACCAAAGATTTCATGAAGAAGATGCCAAAAGCAATTGTAACAAAAATAAAAATTGACAAATGGGACCTAATTAAAGATTTTCTGCACAGCAAAAGAAACTATCAACAGAGTAAACAGACAACCTACAGAATTGGGAGAAAATATTTGCAAACTACGTATGTGGCAAAAGTCTAATATCAGGAATCTATAAGGAACTTACATTTACAAGCAAAAAACAACCCCATTAAAAGTGGGCAAAGAACATGAACAAACACTTTTCAAAAGAAAACATACATGCAACCAACAAGCATATGAAAAAATGTTCATCACTAATCATTAGAGAAATGCAAATCAAAACCACAATGGGAATCATCTCACAGCACTCAGGATGGCTACTATTGAAAAGTCAAAAAATAACAGGTGCTGGAAAGGGAATCGTATATACTGCTGAGAAAAGGGAACACTTATACACTGCTGGTAGGAGTGTAAATTAGTTCAGCCACTGTGAAAGCAGTGTTGATTACTCAAAGAACTTAAAACAGAATTACCATTCCACCCAGCAATTCCATTATTGTGTATATACCCAAAGGAATAGAAATCATTCCAAGATAAAGACATACGAACACATATGTTTACTGCAGCACTGTTCACAATAGCAAAGACAAGGAATCAACCTAAATGCCATCAATGGTAGACTGGATAAAGAAAGCGTGGTACACATATACCATGGTATACTACACGTCATAAAAAAAGAATGAGGTCATGTTCTTTGTAGCAACATGGATGGAGCTGGAGGCCATTATCTGAAGCAAACTAATGTAGGAGCAGAAAACCTAATACCATATATCCTCTTGTTTAGCTCTCACTTGTTGTTTAGTTCTCTCCAAGAACACATGCACACAAAGAGGGGAACAAAGGACACCAGGGTCTACTTGAGGGTGAAGGGCAGGAGGAGAGAGAGGATCAACAAACTACCAATGGGGAACTATGCTTATTACCTGGGTGATGGAATAATCTGTACACCAAACCCCCATGATATGTAGTTTACCTGTATAACAAACCTACATATTTACTCCTGAACCTAAAATAAAGGTTAAAAGAGAGAGAAAGAGAAAGAAAAATCTAACCACCAAGTTTACATAATAAATTCTGGATTTCAATAAATATTCAGTTTTCCAATAAAATGCTTTTGAATTTCTGATGGCATGTACAACAATGAAGGTAAAATTAGACTTGATTTAAGTTTGTAATTTAATTCAAATTTGTAATGTGATTCAGACATCAGGGCAATTTGCTTTTCATGGGTATGAATGTCTCTTCCATGGGCATCCCCTAATTCTGTCCATCAAAGTAGAAAGGAGAATAATGAAAAGTGGAAGCTCTATCCTTTTGATTAACCTATTCAAGCTCAAGAGCAAGGCAGTTTCTGCTGGTTTTACCCATCACAACGGTAGAAGCGCTGCAAGGGCCAGTCACTAAGCTGTACCATATGAAGGGCAGATGCAGAGCAACTTATCTTGGCCATTTCAAATTTTAAGTTGACACACATTATCAGAAGTAGGAACACATTTAGTTTTTGTAAGATACAAGCTTACTTAGAGAATATTCTCAGCAAATGGCAAAACATATCTACTTTTCAATAATTCTTCTTTAAAATTATATTGAACAAAGAGATATAAAGTCCTAGTTAATTCCTTTTCTAAAATAGAGTTTTAAAAAACACAGGTATCTCACAGGACTGTTTCAATTCTGCCCGTTTGAATGTATTACTTATTCAAATGTTGAAATAAATTAAAATTTTAAAATAAAATAAATATCATCAGTAGATTAATTAAAGGTTTCTGTTTTTTGTTTTCTCTCTGAAGTAAGACAGAAACACATGAGGTCCAGCAATTAACTTATTTCCTTCAAAGTTTCATTAAATAACGATTAAATCTAGCCCTATCTAGAGATTTGAAATGTTGGCATGTTACATTATAACCACTCAGAGAAATATAAGGCATTATCTTCCCTTACAAATCATTAACAAAAACATCTGACCATATAGATTACAATAAAAATAGAAATGTTATCAGTGATCAAACTGTTTGGTGGTAAGACAGGATGAATGGAGATTTAAGTCTGTTTTTCCTCCCCATCTTTAGACAGAACCAGATGTTAAATATTGAGACTAGGGGTGGGGGAAGCAAACTTCCTCTTTTAAAACCCAAGAGCTACTCTTTTTTTTCCCCTTTGCTGCTTATTTTGAGTGACATGCATTTATGCAAAAACAAGATTTTCTGCAAGATTTTCAATTTAAAGATGCAGCCTAGATGTCAAAATCTCCTAACCGCCTGCCTTATGTGTGTGTGAGACAGGGGGGTCGGGCATTATGCTGTTGTTCTGGATGGCAGGAGCATCACAGAGAAACACAGAAGTTGACTAATTAAGTTGGACTCCAGAACAGTAAAGGGCCTTGTTTCTTTAAAAAAAGAAAAGAAAAGACAAGAATTATTAATACTGATAAAAGTTAAGATGAGATCTCAAGGACGATAATTAGTTGTTAATCCTTCAACATCTAACAAAGTATCTGGATGGAAAAATCAAATGTATAAAAATGACCAGAATAATAAAATAGAAATGAGAAAATAATGAATAGCAGTGAGAGAAACACACGGTAAATAACGACAAAGAAGAAAAAAAGAAAGAAATCCCTGCAGTTAAGAAAATGAAGAAAAACGTAAAAACATTAAGAGGGTATTATCAAAATTAAAAAGCAAATTAGCAAAACAAAGGGCAGGAAAAAACAAACAAGGCTATTTTGGGTAGACATTATGTAAGAGAACATTTGAGCATGGAAAACTACCTTTCAGTTATCTTCACATTTTTATTAACTACATAAACAGGCACAATTAGTACCATTTGTTAAATAGATGAAGCAACAGTTGCAAAATGAAGTGTGTTTCAGTGCCTTTCATATAGTTATTTTGTGCACAACTGGAAAACACCCACATAACAAGCATTAAAAAGGCATTTATTTCACCATTTGATTCGCAACATAACATTTGTGTTGTTATCTCTGGATGATAAGATTACCTACAAGTGATTTTTTTTGTTTATACTCATATATTTCCAACATTTCTATAATATTCACCCTCTAACCCAGAAAAGAATAAAATGTTTTTTTAAACATTCTCCTAGAGAATGACCCATGTTATAAACACAGGCATTTATATAATTCCTGCTATAGAAATAGTGACATGGAGTGAATCTAACCTAAGAAAATTTCAGTTGGGTTATTTATTTGCCTGATTTGCTTCCAGAAAATGTGGACAAGTTATAGGATACATGAATGTTTCTAATTCTCAGTTCCTAAGGTCTCTTATGACATAACTAAGGTAATGGCTGGATCTTAGTCATGTCCTTTCATATTTCCAGTATTAAAATAAATAAAATAAATATTTTTTAGACTAAGCAGCCAAGGACATAATTTTAAAAGTATATCTGAAATACGAAAACCCACGTTTTCTTAAAAATATGTGAAGTCCTGGTAAAAACATTTGATAACAAGTCTGAAGATCTGAATTCTGGTTCTGGTTCTGTGGATCTTGGACAAGTCACTTAATCTCTTTGGTTTGGGCCTCAAATTCCTCATCTGAAAAACAGAAGCGGTGGTCAGTGGTTTTCAAACTTACCTGCATGTTACAATCACCTGGCTATTTTATTAAATCGCCATGTGCCGACCAATATCCCAGAGAATCAATAAAACCTCTAGGGAATGGACATGGCTATTAGAGCGTTCAGTTCCCCAGATGATTCCAATGTAAGCCAAGGCTGAAAACCACTGAGTAGGAGGATGCTTTCTAGTTCCTTCTAATACACAATGAATCCCAAGGTGAGCTGCATATTGGAATCATCTGAGGAACTTGTAGAGCCTACCACTACCAGGGCCCATCCTGGCTCAATTCAATCACAGCCTTAGAGGTACCAAAGCACTGGTATTGCTTTAAGAACTCGCCAGATGATTCTGGTGTATCACCATGATTGAGACTCACTGTCAAGACTCACATGTTTGACAGAGCAACTAGTCTTAGAATTATTTAAATAGCAAGGTTTTGTCTGGTTACAAGCAGGTTGTTGACAACAACCTAGAATTACATAAAAATGTCTAGGAAAACAAAATATACATAAACCCCACCACCTACTTCCTGTGAGCCAAGCACTATTCCAAGGACACCTACTGATAATTATGGAATAATGTCTCTAATATGATCTGACTTACTGGGAAAATACAATTATAGTAAATTACCACAGGAAGAAAGAAGGAACAAAGTGAAAAGACATACATATAATCTGGGTTTTACCAAACTGCTACACTGATCGAATTTAGATAATAAACATGAAAACAAATTATGACAATACAAAGCACACTTTGTCAAAAAAACTTGATCCATTTGGCTTATATATCATGTAAAAGTAAAGAGGCAGAAAATGAGAGAAGGCTATCGCAGCATGCTTTAAAAAAAAAATCTCGGGAAGAGACTTAAAACATATTTCTTAAATATTTGACTAATGAATTCTCACAGTTGTTTTTTTCTTAATCACTTGTGAGTTGAGCAGACTGAAAACCAAATTTTTTAGAGAGGATTCACCCTTACTGTGGGCTGAAATATTGGCTAATTAATAAAAATAACCTTTAAAGCACTCAGGAAAATAGCATAAAAAGGAACAGCAGCCATTATTAACAGATAAATGGCCTATAACTTTAATAGCTTATAAAACCTAGGTATAGGAAACGAAAATGACACTTAATCATTTTGTTAAATACCCTGCTTAAAAAAGTGGGAAAAGACAGTATTTTTAATGAGAAAGCGTATTTTTAATATTTTAATGTATTACAGATTATTTAAAATGTGTTTAGCTACTTTAAGTATAATGAACTCAAAGGTTAAAATGAGTAATCCTCTAGCAAATGGCTAGTCAAATTAGTCATTTAGACATTTAAGTAAGCATTAAACATTAAGACAGGTCTGAACAATTTTAATTTTCATTTTACGAAGACCTTTGATGTGCTTACCCACATCACTGCATTCATTTACATGAAAGGTCTTCTTCACTTTCTTCTTCACTGTGGTACAGTGAACAGCTAGGGGACTTCCTAAAACAGGCTGGAAAAACTGCCCATTTTGAAGATTCCTTTGCAATCTGTTGTTGCTTTGGCATGGGCAAGTTACAATTCTAAGCTAGCCTACTGCTAACAACAACAACAATGACGAAGTGTGTTAAAATTCCTTGGGGTAAGAATTAAGGGTATTAGTTTGCATTCAAAAACATACTTTAGAAATGGTGACAAGCTCCAGCCTGTCAACATGACACTTTGAGCTGTAACCTTGGAAAAATCCTGAAAGACCCACAGGATGGTGGGGAAAGATGAGGAAGTTGCCTGGATTCTAAAAGGGACTGAGAACAGCCTTGTTCAAATACATGAATGAAAGTATATACACATTTAAACCAGAAATGATAAAAACATCAATTAGCCAACAATAACTCACTGAATCACTGTAATAACGTTCAAGAAAAATCTCATAAGCAAGCCACTAATATGCAATAAATCTGAAATACCCCAGAGAGAAACCCATACACCCATGGACACCCGCAGCATCCTGGATGTTGGATTCTCTTCCTCATTACTTGACCCCTACCTCTAGCCTCATTTCTTACTGTAGCTTTCACACAGATTTGCAGTTACCTAAACAGGGAGGCACTAGTGTCCCTTCTTATATCCAATCCTCTCCAGCTGGAACAGTTCCCAGTTTGCTGCTTAGTCTCAATAATTCCTCCTTGGCCTTATGCAAAATCGTTCACATGTTTATGTACATCTCTCTGGTAAAAAGAATCCCTAGGTCACCATTAGACTCTTTAAGGTATCTGTGAGCGAAAAGAGCTTAGGAACCAGTATTCTCCAGAGTTGCCAACTAAAAACATAAGAGAAAGTTGCATGGGTGCCAAAGAACAGACTGGAAGTCCCATACAATAATGTTCACACCAATGAAGGACCCACAGGATTCCTATAGGACCCACAGCTAACACCAATACATGAAAAATATTCAAATCCTAAAAGCATCTACCTATAAAAATCATTTACTTGCCCCTATGTTTTGGGAGAGAAGCTTAGAAGAAGAAGATACACAGCTGGCTCCATCTAGACACACCCTCAATCTGCACTTCAGGATACAACAACTACTGAAGCAGCTCACACATTTTATAGTCAGCAGTGGATTCACCTACTAAATTTGAACTCCATAAAACATTTAGAAGACACTTAATTTTCATTTAATAATGGCAAAAATTGTAATGAAGTTTGCTAGCAAAGGGATTAACATATGAATTAAGTAGTATTTTCTTAGAATTTATACACATATATATTTTGATACAGTGTTCCATTACACCAGTATAATTTAACTGCTTTATTCTAAGAATAAAACCCCTTTGCTTAGATATTGAAGCAGGTACTACTTAAACCTGTAGTGCTGATGAAAATTAAATTAGAGAAATCAGAGAAGTCTTTACACAGCCAATACTAACAAGTGCTCCATTATAAATAGCACTCATGCATAGTCATTTTATGTACAAATTTTGGTTACTGAAAGATACACACTGAACAAGCAATTTCAGGTAATTTGCTGGTTGTGATTATTGTAATATGTAATTTTTAGTTGTGATAATTACCCAAGAGATTCAGAATACACAATTTGTAGAATAATTATGGAACTTCTACTTATTTCTTTAGGCTTAGTATTTGAGAAGAGAGGCTGTGAATTTATGAGGCCTGCAATTTATTTTTCAAGCCCCTGTTGATTTATCTTTGCATGGCGGTTTGTATGTCTCAGATTCTCCTCCATAAGTGCTATTTGCTATTAAATACAGCTCCTTTCAAAGTGTCAAGGGGAGTATCAAGACATTCAGAGTTCATTTTCATGGAGTGGACCACCTACCTCCTCATGATTCAAAAGTCAGTAAAAAGAAGCCTGTCTCAAAGCACTGTTTATAACTGCCACCATTCTCAAGTCTAAAGTCAGGTAAGGCACAGGGAGTTGTGGCTCACTTGTGCCCCACTCTGCATCCTGGAAATCTATGAAGTAATAGTTTTAATTATTTGTTCTAATATTCTAACTGGGGGTGGGAGTAAGGAGGCAGTCCATTCTTAGTAGAAAATCAAAATAATCTGGAAGTTGATTAATATAACCAAGTTAACAAAGCTGGGTATACATTCTTAAAGGGAATAGAATGGACTTAAATTTGTTATACTCCTTAAGAGGGTCACCTATCTTTTCACTATAACTTTTAAGTTACATTTCCCCCTCAAAAATACATTGCTGGCTTAATAATATTGTAAACTAGAAACAGTTCATGAAAATAGCAAGACATTCAATTACAAAATGATTTTTAAGGTAATGTTGAGAGTAAGTTTCTTCTATTCACCCAGGAGCCTGTGTGCTTTTCTCTTAGGCTACAACTTTATGAAGTTAGTTCTCACACGGCACTCTGACTGCACACTTAAACTGCCTAGCTTCAACATTTTAAAATATACATAAAAATCATAGAGGACTTTAAAAAACTGACTTCTTAAATCTCAAATGCCCAAATGGTGGTCACTCAGGATGTGTCCTACTCTGCACTTCAAATGTGGTTGCTCTAAATTGAAACAGGCTATAAATGCAGATACACTCTGAATTTCAAATAGTATAAAAAAAAGTAAAGCTGGGTGAGGTGGCTCACACCTGTGGTCCCAGACTTTGGGAGGCTGAGGCAGGTGGATCACGAGGTCAGGAGTTCAAGATCAATCGGGGCAAGAGGGTGAAACCCCATCTCTACTAAAAATACAAAAAAACTGGCCGGGTGTGGCGGCGGGCGCCTGTGATCTCAGCTACTTGGGAGGCTGGGGTGTGAGAATAGCTTGAACCTGGGAGGCGGAGGTTGCAGTGAGCCAAGATCGTGCCACTGCACTCCAGTCTGGGTGACAGAGCGAGACTCGGTCTTAAAAAAAAAAAAAAAAAAAAAAGTAAAATATCTCATTAAGAATTTGTTACAATGAATACATCCTGACATGGTAATATTTTAAATATTTTAGGTTACATAAAACATACTGTTAAAATTCATTATATTTGCTTATTTTTACTTTAATATTAATATAGCTACTAGATAATTTAAAATTACCTGTACTTACATGATACTTCTGTTGGACACTGTTGTCCTTAAAGTTCATGAGTTCCCAACATATATCCATTCTTTGTTCCTATTTTTCTTTAGTTTTTACCTCCTCTTTATTTTCAAGGATCTTTAAGGATCCTTAAAGTAGAACACTTTCTACTTAGTAGAACAGCCTTCCTTTATCCTCACTCCACAGTGGGAGAGTATCCCATCTCTAATATCCTCCATACCAACCATCTAAAAAAAATAAGCAAGACTATATTTATCAGTTCCTCTTCTTCACTGCATGGTAACTTCCATACCCACCACCATAGTAGTTGCTGTTTGAGAGGTCAGGCCCTTACCATCATTCACCCAAACAATAGCCCATGGCCACCTGATGGTTCCACTGCTTCCAATCTATCACCTTTGACACATTTTCCATACTCTGTCACCCTCATCTTTCTAAAGCACAGGTTGGATCACTCCATTTACCTCCTGAAATAAATGCCAATGGTACCCTAATTTTTATAAAGTTTGCATCTCTGAACATGGCATTCATTATCTCCCGCCCAAACTAAAGAGTCCCAGCCACATTTCTTATTACATCTGTCCTTAAAACATATGGCCCCATTTTCTTTTTAAGAGGGACTCTCACCGTCACCCAGGCTCAGATGCCCAATGGCACGATCTCAGCTCACTGCAACCTCTGCCTCCCAGGTTCAAGCAATTCTTGTGTCTCACCTTCCCAAATAGTTGGGATTACAGGCATGTGCCATCACACCCAGCTAATTTTTTGTATGTTTAGTAGAGACAGGGTTTTACCATCTTGCCAAGGCTGGTCTCAAACTGCTAGCCTCAAGCAATCTGCCTGCCTTGGCATCCCAAAGCGCTGGGATTACAAGTGTCAGCCACCCCACCCAGCCGATGACTCAAATTCTTATACTACTATATTTTATTCCCTCAACTGCCAGGTTCATTAAAAACCCTTTACATGTCCTACGGCTTTAGGCTGCAACAGCCTTCCCTCACATAGGTGTTTATCAGAATCCATTCATATCCTAGTGAAACTATCTCCAGTCCCTGAGATTGGAATTAATCACTCTATTCTCTGAAGCCCCATACCACTTTGCCAGCATCAGTAGTAGGACATTAATTTTTTTACTACTTTGAATTATATTCACATATCTCCACTGCATGAGTCTTAAGAAAAAAGAATGAAAGAATGAAACAGAGGGAGGGAGAAATGGGTAAGAAAAAAAAAAAAAAAACCAGAAAAAAAATTATTCTTAAAGATAGGAAGCCAGTCACATGAACCACTATTTTCCCACAGTACCTATTCTTTCCATGGTCTACATATGGCAGGAACTCTACAGGAGAAAAGTTTGCTAAAGAAAGAACAAGATGAATGAAATTGATTCTGGGTTTAAAAACTCAGAAATTCAGTGGGATTTTTAATTCTCACTTTAAAATGACATTTTGCTCAAGAAAGAACAAAGTGAATGAAATTGATTTGGGGTTTAAAAACTCAGAAATTCAGAGAGATTTGTAACTCTCACTTTAAGATGACACTACATATAATATGTGTTGAATTAATGCATAAATGAATATACTTCTGTATACACTCATGTAAATACCTTGTAACAAACTTAACCATATTTACCACTGAAATGAAATCTCTGGGCAAGGAATACAGTCCTCAATGAGAAGCTGTCTATATTCTCAAATATTCATAAAACTCCACTTCAAAACAAAAATAGAAGTGGTAAATATTTGTATGGATTTGTGACCTAATACTAAAACCTCAAAAAAAAAAAAAAAAAAAAAAAAACCAGAAATTGTAAGTATGAGATCCCTATCTGTTACAGCAAGTGGATATTCTTTTTAAAGATCACAAAGATATGATAAGTCACAACCCCTCAGTGAGCTTTGCCAAATAGCTGGCTGAAAACCAACTCAAAGAATACAGACATGCCACGGGAAGCAGGCTGTCATGCCAAGTTACTTTTAATTTTTTTCATTGAAGTACTACCCTGCAATAGGTTACTCTTAATTTTCAGTGGCAAATTGATGGATAGAATGCACAAAAAGGAGATATGGTAAAAATATCCAAAAACTGTTAAAATACTGGTCAATAATACGGAATACTTAGAAAACTAAATCTTAATTTACCAGAATTAAAGAAATTTAATTGAGGCTGATTTGTGTAAAACAGTCATTGTTGCTTCCAAAACTCAAAAAAAAAATTTTTTTAAGCAACTCATTTTTGTTACAAAACTAAAAATGGAACCATATGAATTGCTAGACTACTGTTATTGAGCTGCTCAGGGACACGAACAAGGTCTTTTAGGCCCACTCACTGCTATCTAACTATAGTAATAAGTTAATTTTGAGTAACACCAAACTAAATATTTAAGTCAATTAGTACTCAGAACAGTACATCATACATACATTCAGTAGAATACTATTATACGAAAGGAAACTTTAACTTTTCAAGTAAATTTCTCCTAATACATTCAAATATCAAACCGAAATAAATTTTACCAGATTAAATTTTGGAGAAAGATTATTCAGTTATTTTCTTAAAGATTCTACTTTTCCTCAAAAAATTGTGATGTGGCCAGACACGGTGACTCACACCTGCTATCCCAGCATTTTTTGGAGGCCAAGATGGGAGGATCACCTGAGCCCAGGAGTTAGTGAACAGGTTGGTCAACATATCCAGACCTCGTAGAGATATTCTCCACTACAAGTGATTCTATTATTGCACTAATTAGCAATATAATCTTGAAAAGAATCCTGAGAATCTGGTATGTGTCCAGTAAGTTCTTTTACTAGTTCAATACATAGGTTTATTTGTGAAGTAAAATCCTATGTTCAAAGAAACACATATAATTTAAGGGAAAAACATAATTTCATCATAGTTGGACATAATTATACATTTTTATATATTTTTATAATTATATATGTAATTATATATGGCACAAAACATAACGAGAATTTATTTTTAAAAGCACTTATTGCTTTAAAGAAAAAAAAAGCAAAACAAAACTGAGATCCTTCTCAAGATTATACTGTGAGTTTATGCAAAGATTATTCAGAAAAACTTCTTTTGAGGTAGAATCTAATACATCAACATAGAGCTGGAAAGGACCTTAGAGATGGTGTGGTGTAACTCCATGAGTTATTAGATAACTAAAGGAACTCCGAGGACTTGCCTGATACAATTAGTTTGAAATAGAATCAAGACTAGAATTGGGATCCCTTGATGCTTCAGTGAGTGCTCAATCATTACACTATCATTGTGTAGGTAACAAATATGTAACTACTCTATGTTATAAAATTAGAAGACAAGCCACCAATAAGGAACCTATGTTTACAGAACTTTTCCTAAAAAATATTCTTCATCCTTTGGCTGTTTAGCCAGCTTGACTATTTAAGCTTCAGTGCTAACACCTGTCTTCAACTAAGCCTTATAAAACCAAGATGAAAAGTATCTTCCATATAAATTTTAAAAGAAAATATTAACTTTCCAAACTTCCACAAAGCCATTTTTCTTTTGTCTTTTTTTTTTTTTTTTTTGATGGAGTCTGGCTCTGTCGCCCAGGCTGGAGTGCAGTGGCACCACGACCTCGGCTCACTGCAAGCTCCGCCTCCCGGGTTCACACCAATCTCCTGCCTCAGCTTTGGACAAAAAAAAGGCTTTTGTGGAAGTTGGAAAGTTAATATCTTAAAATTTATATGGAAGATAACTTTCATCTGTAATAAGGCTTAGTGAAGACAGGTGTAAGCAACTGAAGCTTAAAAGTCAAGCTGGCCTAAACAGCCCAAGGAATGAAGAATATTTTTAGGAAAAGGGTTCGTAACATAGTTCTTTATTGTGGGGCTGCCTTCCAATGGTTATAACGATACAGAAGTGTACAATTTGTTTACCACACGAATGATAGGTATGGATTGACACTCACGACATCACGGGATTCCAATCCTAGTCGTATTTATTTCCAAACTATTGTACAGCAAGGTCCCCTCGGTTCCTTAGTTATCTAAAACGCATGGAAGTTACCACCACACCATCCCTAAGTCCTTTCCCCCAGCCTAGTTATGTATTAGAGCCACCTAAAAAGAAGTTTTCTGAATAACCTTTGCCCATAAACCACAGTATAATCTGAGAATGGATCTCAGTTTTGTTTGCTTTTTTCTTTAAAAGCATAAGTGGCCTTTTTAAAAATAATTCCGTTATGTTTTTGCCCATATAATATTAATAATAATATAAATAATATAAAAATGTATAATATTCCAACATGATGAAATATGGTTGTCCCTTAAATTATATGAGTTTTCACTTGAAACATAGGAACTTTTTACTTCACAAAATAAACCCCATATGATTGAAACTAGTAAAAAGAACTTACGAACACATACCCAGATTGCCTCCAGGATTCCCCTTTCCAAGATATATTGCGTAATTTATGCAATGAATCACTTTAGTGAAGAATATCTCCTACAGGTCTGGATATGTTGACCAACCTGTTACTAACCTCCATGGCCTCAAGTGGAATCATCCCATCTTGGGCCCTCACAAAAAAGCTGAATAGCAGTTATCACCGTGTCTGCCATCAAA